ATAAAACAGATAATATTTTGTTAATTATAAAAAATTGGGATAATTTTAACTACTACGTGATCTTTATTGCTTTAGAAATAATATTATTTCTTCTTGGATTATAAGTGTTAGATACGGTGAGTGCAAAAAGTATTCGTACAGAGAAAATATTTTTTAAAAAAAACTTTATTTTTAAAAAGTAAATATTATTCAGTGAGAAATGAGTCATCGAAATAATGACGAAGAGACATCGATACGATGGTTTCAACACCAATTTAACGTCTATTTAACGTTTAATTGACGATCATTTCTTGTTGGATAATCAACAATTTATTCATAAAGAATAAAATAGACTGTATGTTTCTTAAAATTATATATACCAAAAAGATGTATTAATTATAGAAAATATATCACCTAAAAAATAAACGAAAATTAAAAATTGTATTGTTTGGATGCTCAAAAAGTATTCATACAGTCGAGATATTTAGCTTCTAAAATCAGAAATACATGCGAAGCTCGTTTGTTTATGTTAGAACAGAATGTATTCATTGTATAAAAGTGCTAACTAATGTTTATTTTCTATAAATAAGATTTTTTTTATAACAAATTTCCTTGTACGAATACTTTTTGTTCTCATATATTTAAGAACGACAATTTGGTATTTAGGAATAATTTCCGAAAAATCTTTTATATCTCGCGCGAATGTTATAATTCGAATGTACATTCGAGTATTTATCTCAAAGAAAAGAAAGGAAAAAAATAAAAAGTTCAAATGTACACTGAAAAAAAATATATATATACTTAATAAATTATTTACTTAATAAAATATTTACTTAATAAAAAAATAACAGTTAAATCAAATTAATGATTTTTGTATCAAATAAACATATGTTTACATTTAGTAAATATTTACTTAAAACTATTCATATCAAATTTATTAAAATTTAATATTTTTTAAATATGTTTTCTTAAATATTTGGTTAGTACCGTTCGAACAAATATTAATTAAAATTTAGTAAATTTTTTTCAGCGTAATATATACAAAGAAAAGGTTTCTTTAAATTATTTAAACAAATTTATGCATTAAAATAGTCTAACCAAATGGATGTTTAAATTAAGATTATGATTATTTGCATTAAAATTAAATTTTGTTATTAAACAAGAAATTCCATTTAAAATTAAATTTGTTTCAATGAAACAAGTGTAAATAGAACTTTCGAGTCCAAATCTTTTTCTCTGTGTATACGTGAAACATTGCAAGAAGCGTATGTCTCATGATTTCCGATGAGCTATATAGAAATCTGAGATATAAGTATTCTAATCGAACATTATGATCGTAATCATCGCCGCTAAAGAAATTTAAACAACCGGTACAGTGCGGAGCCGAAAGCTCCGGCCGCGTCACTTCGGCCGGAATTCAGGCATCTCGTTCACCAATCGTATTTAATTGACGTAATAAGCAGTGCGGCGATCAAGCCGTAACGTGATATAAAACGCTATACTACACTACGCTACGTGACATGATGAAAAGCGACGCGTTGGACAGGCCGAAGCTGCGCTTTCACGTCTCGTCAAAGTGTAGAGCGAGGACTCACCGAAATCGATGAACTGTTTTATCGAGAGTGGCGAGGGGTTGAATTGCGAGTAGAAGTCCAACATCTTGCCGATGTTGCCGAGGCAGTTTCGTGTGAGCTTCATCCCGCGGTGTGTCGTTAACGTTACACATCAAACCCGGCACGATCGTGCTTGGTCCGCCGCGCGTGTTGGATGAGCGGGGGAAGTGAACTCCGGCCGAACTCCGACCGTTTCCGTGGTCGTGGAAGATCGTCGCAAGAGGGAAACGCCGCTAACGTTTTTTTCTTGGTGCTCGATAGCGGCAGAAGATGCGCGAGAGACGGACCGCCGGTGGTCAACACAACCGTAAAGAAATCGTGTCAACGAGTGCCGAGTACTGAGTACACCGCGGTGCGCGGTGCGGTATATGCGGGGTTCGCGCCGGGCCGCGCATGCGCGACGCCGATCATTCGACGCGACAGGGGAGAGCTCGTCGCGCGTTTATTTAATGTCTTAGCGCCGAGACACTACCGTCTCTAGATTCTAATGCGCTTGGAATTGATAATGGCTACGTTTACACCGTGCATTTAGGCCGCGGCCTATACAATAGACGTCCCTGTTTATCCTGTATATTAAATAAAGACATCTATCGCGGACTAAGGTATAGGTCGCGGACTAAGCGCACGGTGTAAATTATAGCCTATCTTATGGCGAATTCGATTGGAAGAACTAGTGCGCATTGGTGCATATTAAAGCCGTTGTACACTAATTTAATTTAAGTATAAAAATGAAATGTAAATATTTCGAATTATGAAATACATATTTTACCTAATAGTACAATAAAATGTATTGAGTATTTCACGATTTAATCGATCTCTATGTTTATTTTATAAACATATCTTTACGTTATTTCGTGTACTGAGTGCGTCCAATCGAATTCGCTATTAGTTTTAAATAAACATAAATTAATAATAAGGGCTACGAGACAATTAATAATATATTTAAATATTAAACATAGATTTTATTTCACTTCAACTTTACAGCCAAGAAGGGGACTTGGTTTACGTAGAAAATCTTAAACCATTCATAACCCATTCCATCGCACATCCATTCCTACCTTAAATATTAAACATACGTTTTGATTTTCTGTCAGGCCATCCTTAGTATTTACAAAATTAGAAGCAATAAATTAAATTTCTGTAATGGCTGGATACACATAATTCTATTATAATTACGCTAATGGTGATGGTGGTGATTCTTCGTTCTTGCAAATAACAATATAGTCCCTGCTCTCTTATAATTAGTTAACAACGTTCATTGTGTTAAGTCGTCGTAAATAGTCCATATTAATATTTAGTTGAAAAAAATTAGTTTTAAAGTAATTAGGGGGATGCTTTTCATTAGAGACACGAGTTGACACAATTAAGTCGACACAATCATTTTATTTTTCTTGACACTCAGAAAATAACAGAGATAAAACGACACGTATCACAAAATGGAATTATCCAAAATTATTCTGAAGTTTATAATAGCATTTTTCATTGGCAGAATTAGTGTGCACTCAGTACACATTAAAGCTGTTGTACACTTATTCTAATCTAAATGTAAAAGTGAGATATCTCAATTGATAAAATGTCCAACTAAATATTCTTCCTTTACTGTTAAAAAAACGGTGTTAAATTTATTTCTTAAATTTCTTCTTATATTTGTCAGATAAAGTCCAATTATTCGACTAATTCAATTTACTATATCTCAAATCACAACAATATTAAACCTGTTACATGTTATTTTAAAAAACGAATAAAAAATAACTGCGTTCAGCGTTTATTTCGCAAATGTTGGAAGTTTTTTTGCGCTGATTGTATTATACTTTTAGACCCGTATTCATAGTCGGGCCTTATATTTAAGGAAGCCTTAAGTACAAGGTCTGACTATGAATACAGGCATATGAAGTATTCATAGTCAGACCTTCATTTATTTAATGTTACTGTAATATCGTACAAACATTAGAAAGTATTATAACAGCATTTACTTTAATTTGTAAAACTGTTACATCTGTTCAGTATAAGTATATGTTTAAAAACTAAAAATGATTTTTGTTCTCATTGGTAGAACTGGATATGTACTTAAAACGTTGAAACGTTTTTTTAGTACAAGATGCAGCATAGACTGATAAGAACTTTTCGTTACTGGATTGTGAATTCAAATTGCACAAAATTAAAAATAATTAATATTTATTAATATTTTAATAATGTTTCAGGAATATTAAAATATAATACCTAGGTTTATTATATAAGTGGACATATAATCTCTATAGAATACTCCTGCAATATTAAAAAAATATTTATGATATTTTTTGAAATATTATAATAACATTATTTTTTTAATAATATTCATGTAACATTCTAGAAACATTTTGCGCTTATAGAGTATTTAAGGCTTCCTTAAATTTATCTTTAGATGCTCAGTAATCAATAAAATAATTCGTAGAGTATCTAAAGATAAATTTAAGGAACCTAATACATTGAGTGTGCACTAGTTCTAATGAAAAACGCTATAAATAATCATGTTTTGGAACGCAGATCTAGAGAAAGATAATACAGTCACTTTTATAGTACAGTTGGTTGAACTTTAGACCGTACAAAGTTTAACTCTTAATATAATTGCAGATCTACGTTAATGGGTCCTTAATTCAATACGTTTCGAATCTCAAGGGTTCTAGGAATCTGGAAGTTTTCAAATTTTGAATGTTTGGTGCGTTTGAAAGTACCGTCATTTCTCTAACTTCGTGCAAATCTCTTCGCTATCTAAGTTATTTGTGGAATAACCGTTACTCCAGCAAAAGATATTTTTTACAAAAAAATACATGTAAACGGCAAGAGTATAATATACAAACATACTCCAAGCATAGAAACAAATAACATCCTTCTGCATTCTGTCAGCAATCAAAAAAGAGAATCGCAGTTCGTAAGTGCATTCGATCACTCGTATCCCGGAAGTGATGTGTGGCGCCACCTGTTATTCCCGTAATGACACGGGGGAAATAATTAACCTTTACGTTCTTGCACACCTCGCACGGAACATTTTTTTCACCGAAGGTGTACGACTGGCGAGACCCGCGTCGCCGATTGATCGACGTGAACGCGTTCCTCACGCTGGACTTGCGAATGCGTCGAGAGGCAGGCTGCTTGTCCATCGTGTGCGCGGCGAGGCGCGTAGTTTTTAGGTTAGGAGCACTCGTGTTCGGAGCGTCCAATCTTCTGCTGGACGGACGACGCGCCTCACGCGACCCGCGCGATTTTGCGTTTCGTCGCTCGAGGGAAGAGACGAATCGTGGCCTGCGCGCGAAATATCGCCAGCGTCACGAGACGAGTTTTCCTCACTTTTTCGCGGATCGGCGAGAAATTTTGCTCGCGCAATCAATTTGTTGATTTGTTCCTTCTCGAGCATTCAGGCACGCGCTTGACTCGCGCGTCGGCGCTGCCAATTTCCGGCAGAGACAAGCCCATGTGGACGAGCAGAGAGCAGAGCGGATACCACGGCCACGATCAGTCCGTGATAAAGCGTGTTCTCAGCGTGTCTGCAATCGCACGTTCTCACGCGTCGCAGATCCCTCTGCCCCTCCGGTTGTCCCACGCCACGCCATCCGGACTCCGTCGCGTCGCCATGGCAGACCTGGACGATTTTTTCGCCAAGAAAGACCGAAAGAAGGCCAAGGGCAAGAAATTCACCACGACCGACGAGGTCGCCAAGAAACTAGAAGAAACGGGTAAACGGATCGAGAAGCCTAAACCGAAGGAGAAGCCAGCGAATCCCGAAGGCGAGGAGTCTCAGCACACCGAGGTAAGGCGGTGACAGGGACAGCGACGGGAGCGGTGATCCATTCACGCGTTTTTTTTATCATGGAATTCCGGAACCTCGTGTCTGCGCCACGGCGCTGCCATGTTTGTTCCCACGAAGGGGGAACGGTCGCATGGAGAAGCTGACGGCGATGACGCGCGACGTTCCCCGAAAGTTCCCCGGACGTCTCGGAACGCCTTACGTAATCATCAGACACGTCGGATCGCTCACGCGCGTTTTACGGCAGCTGTTTCACGTGCACGTGTTCTTCGGAGCTTCCTTCCCCTTTCCTCCTCTGTCTTCTGTAAAAGGAAAAATGGGTTGGATGTTGGATTCCTCGTAAATACTTGATGATTGACAAAGGGCAAAATATGCAATGTGACAATTAGCCGAACACTTTTTCTCGTAATTTTTCAAAATGATCTTCTTGAAAATTGTAATTGTGTTAAAATGTGAAAGCATTATGAGCCGCGAAGTACTTCATCATGAGTCACGGATATAATATGCATGATTTTGCAAAAGATTTGATGAATTGCTGTAGTGATAGTTTAAGGTAAATTAGAAAGCAAGAATATGTCATGAGTGTATTTTATTTTTAGGATGAAGACGAATGGAAAGAATTTGAGGAGGAGAAAAAGGATTATAGTGGTTTAAAAATCGGACATTTAACAATAAATGATAGCGTCGACGCAGAATCAGATGAAGAGAGGGGTACCTTTGAAATCAATTCTGATGGCGAGTGCGTCGAGGGTGGCACAAAGTACACGGGACCATGGAAGAAACCGGATTTACCACCAGAAACGCCGGAGGTGGTGCCGACACCGCCCGTACCCCCCGTTGCTGCTGCTGCCGCCACCGCCGCCGCCGCCGCTGCCTCCACTGGAAATAGTTACAAAGCACCACACTTACGAAATCAACCTACATTCGCTAGTCCGCGACCGCGAGGGAGAAATGTCGCACCCGATATAAATAGCGAGGAATACTTCCCTACATCCAAGCCTCAGCAAAATAATGGCAGCAGCGGTCCATGGGGCAGACGGTAAGATGACAGCAAAGTCTCCATAACATTGTTCCATTAGCTTTGGAGCAAAATGGTTATTTTTCTAAGTTATTTTGCGAATGAAGGGAAATCATGTTGAGTTGCACCAAGTGATATTGTGCTGAAATATACGACGAGTGATTTTAATTACAGACGGCGAGAGGAAGGAGCGTTTGAAGAAGTTCGCAACCGAGGTGGCAGTAGATCGTACAACGTGCCAGAATCGCAAGCTCAAACACCCAAGCTCTCGCTTGGCAACAAGTACGGCGCCTTGTCGCAAGATCAGAGCTGAAAACGCCTGGCTCGATGGAATCAAACAACATGCAATCAATATCACATCGTCGCCCCTCCCTGCTTCGTGGCCCAACCTCATCGAGAAAATCTATTTTCTAGACTAGGACGCAGTGTATATTATAGAACGTGTATGCACGTACACACGTCCCAACTTTGTGAAATTCCGAGGATGGTAATTCCGGTTCTCTCGTTGGCGATTCTAAAATGATCGCGGGACGGATCGTCGATCCTAGGTATTTGCACACACGTGCGCTCATGGACATTGTAACTAATCGAAATGAATATCGCATGTGCGCAAGCTTATTTTCATACCGTGTAGACAACGTGGTTGGAAATCAATTTTTGTATTTCATTTTATAATCAGCATAGTGCGTAGTATGCTGCTTCCAAGAAAGCGCCAGGACGATAGAAGAATGGATTCCGACGTTCGAATCCTCAAAAAAAAAAAAAAAAGTATAAAACAACGGCGGACCGGAACAACGTTGTTACCGCGAGTATATGTTATCGTTACGCGCGGATTGTAGTCTAAAGAAAAAGTATCGTTCGTTAAGGTATTTTATGTATATTCGCACTTTATTTTTTTTTATACGGTGCTACTTTTAATTTAGCGTGCATAATTACTGCCACGATCGATGCCTTCTCATTGAGTATTATCGATGTAAATAGGACTGATCACGTTGACGTCCGAACACGATAAACTTCGAGATCGGCATGATAACGTCGAGATCGAAATTCACGATTAATCTGAGCGGCTCTGTATGAGAGTTATCTTTGAATAATAGTCTCGAAAGTCGCGAGATGCTTCTTGGATCCTTTCTCTTTCTCTCTTTCTCTCTCCGCTTTCGAAGGAGAGTGTCGCTTCGCTCAAAATGGCAACGTGGGTCAACGAACGAAAATTTCTAGATAAATTAAGGTATAAATATATATTGTATGTATATTATTAATCAAATTTCGTGGGGGCTGGGCTTTCGAACGGTGCGGAATCAATAAGGGTAACGACGAAATAACACGAACGCAACTTTGAGTGAGAGTAACGAGGGGCAAAATAGTTAATTAAAAACCTCTAAAACACAAGCTACCGTGTCGCAGTAGTGTTGTGTTACAAAATAATAGGAGGGAGAAAGACATACGCATACACTCGTGTTAAACATAAAATGAAAATCCTATGTACGCCTTTGTTGACATTTGTATAATTCTCTTTTTGTTGATAATAAGAGTTTCTTTCTCACGATAAAGAGAATATGCGGCAAATAAATATCGATTCCGTTTCTTGGGAGACGGTTTCTCGTTGTTGGCGGATCCTCCTCGGCGGGGTGACGCGTGTTATTAACGCAATGAGGGGAATGCCATACGGAAACGGTAGATAATAATAAGAATTCTTGTATAGCGTGTGATAAAATGTGATTATTTATAAATAAATTTCTTAGGGTAACTCGTACGTACTGCCTCCGAGCATTTTTTTTTATTTGCCGTGTCGTATATTATCGATCGACCAATTCCCGAAGCGCAGCACACGATTATACTTAATTGTGTGCGCGAACGATCTGGCCGATCATCTTTTTATGACACACGATCCATAGATCGGAAATACGTCGGCAATCAAGTTAACAACGCATTAATTGTAGCGCCAGGAGAAGTTTAATTTAAGCACGTGGCGAAAACGCGTAATACCGGTGCCTCTTGGAGACAGTTTCGAATTGATTTTGATCGTCGCGGCAACGCGGACTAGCCTGCCCTTTGTTACAGAATAGTTGAGATACGATAATTTTATCGCTACTGTTACATGAGAGCGAGCGATAGAATGACAGGAAGTGAGAGTGCGCGAAAGTGTGGGATGCGAGCGTACGTGACGTATTTAATAAAATTCAATCACACCGAGATACTTCCATGTTTCTTCCGTTCCTTCATTTTCGAAATCCTATTTTTTATGTCACTCGCATGTCGGTTAATTCTTTCTATTCAAAGATTTAAAAGAATGGATTATTACGTTGTTAAGGGAATATCAGATCCACGAAATGTATCTTTATCTTTGTTTCTTTTTTAAGAAGGAATAGTAAAGGAGTGTTAAAAGGAACTTGTAAAGACTCATAAAGACTCGTACATACATCGTTTCAGATATACTTCGCGTGACATCTTTGCTTCACTCAGCATATATGTCACACTTTTCAAAGCATGAAAACACCGACAAATTGTTTGAATTTTGTATTTTTTACAAACTTATTTTTAAAAACTGATTGTAAAATTAAAAAAATAATCGATTTTTTTTATCAAACTATTATAATAGAATTAATACAACTGTTGTATCACAAATATGAATATATATAATTAGTTTTAATAGTCTATATATATATAAATTATTTTTATCCAATTGTTCAGAAGAGATGAAGTTACTCCCTCTTAAAAACATAGCTTATAACTTTATGCCACTGTGCGTAGGATTATAGAAAACAGTCTTATAAATTACTCATTGTTTTCTGCCGTCAGTTTCCTCGAATTTACAAGGATTAACGGTATCTATTATGAGAAAGAGCGCTCATCATAACCGCGCACCCAATTGGACATTCAAAGAACGTCATCGAGGCTCGACGCCTCCTCGCAGCTGCAAAGAGACAAAAGTTGCCGGCAATGATTTATAGCACTTCTTTTCTGTGATCGTAGGACGGATCGCGAACATACTTCTCGCAATACTTCAGCCCATGACTTCCGTTGTTAGAGTAAGATGTATACATTGCACCGTCTAGTAGGGAGGACTTGAACTTTGGCAGAAAGTATATCCAGGCTTTCGTCGACTCGCTGACCTGAAAGGAGTTCGTCAGAAGAAAAGTATAGATGTCTGCTGTATGTATTTTGGCAAAAATAAAAATCGGAGTGTAAGCTGAATGTAAAAAGAAAAGTGACAGAAGTCCAAATGAAGCTTCTAGGAGGCAAAAATGGAGACAATGAAACATAAAAGAGGCATTTATGCTTCTTTCGTTTAGCCTTGTGTTACTCTCCTTTTACATTCGATTTACGCTCAGATTTTTATTTTCGCCAGGATCGATACGTGCGTAAGTTCATTACTTCCTCGAAAGTTTTTCCGGGCTTAAGTGCAGCCTCCGGCGTCAGCAAAATTGTTTCTTCCGTTCGCTCGTAAAACTGTGGATGTTCCTCCAATTCGTCCAATCTCTTCAACATGTTGGAATCTACATCATATATCTCTCCGAACACGTACTGTTTAAAAAAAACATTCTATTACAATCGACGTAGCATTAAGAATAAGAATTCTTTAAGTTGAAATCGCAAGCAGTAAAGATAATTAAAATGGACTTCCCCTAGTAGTACAACTCATTGATAATACACTGTAAATATTAGCGTATATTCCCAGACAACAAAAAGTGTCTAAAATCGGGTCATAAAACGTTTTTTTGCGTTTAAAAAACGACTTAAAGACGTCTCATGTCACCCCAGTAAACGAGAATGGATTAAAATGGATTGAAATTTTTTCTATCCGAATGCGTATTTTAAATAGCGAAGATATTTTTTTTTAGATTTACTAGGTGTACAAATAAGTTTCCGGGTTTCACACATGGATGGCGCCAACGACACATGTAATGTCTGAAGTTGTTTATTTTTTGTAGCTGCGACATCTGACGACAATAATCAATCAAAATATTTCCAGTTTCGCGACGAAAAAAAATTTTTATGCAACAGTGAAAATGTCGGGTTTTGTGCCAAAAAAACAGCATTCGCGGGAAGTCTTGCTTTTCTGCTTTCACTTGGGCAAAAATGCAGCTGAAGCACGTCGTTTGCTTGAGGAGGCTTACGGCGAACATGCACCATCGAAAACAACCTGTGAAGATTGGTTTAAACGCTTTAGAAGTGGCGATTTCGACACTGCGGACAAAGAGCGCTCCGGAAGACCGAAAACAATCGAGGACGCCGATCTGCAAGCGTTGTTGGATGAAGATGACACGCAAACTCAAAAACAACTTGCAGAGGTGTTAAACACGTCTCAACAAAGCATTTCCATACATTTACGTGCCATGGGAAAAGTTCAAAAGGAAGGAAAATGGGTGCCGCATGAATTGACTGAGAGACAGATGGAAAATCGAAAAGTCACTTCCGAAATTTTGCTTTTGCGGTATGAAAGAAAGAGTTTCCTGCATCGAATTGTTACTGGCGATGAGAAGTGGGTGTATTTCGAGAATCCCAAACGCAAAAAATCGTGGCTTTCACCTGGCGAAGCATCAACATCGACGGCGCGGCCGAATCGTTTCGGAAAGAAAACAATGCTCTGCGTTTGGTGGGACCAGAAAGGAGTGGTTTACTATGAGCTGTTGAAACTAGGCGAAACTATCAACGGAGAACGCTACCGACAACAACTAATCAATTTAAGCCATGCATTGCTCGAGAAACGGCCAGAATGGGACACAAGACATGAGCGAGTGATTTTGCAGCAGGACAATGCACCGTGCCATCGCACTTCCATCGTCAAGGACACCATCAAAACGCTGAAATGGGATCTGCTACCACACCCGCCGTATTCACCAGATCTGGCTCCTTCTGATTATCACTTGTTCCGGTCGATGGCGCATGACTTGGCTGGACTACACTTGGCCAGTTTCGAAGAAGTGCGAAATTGGATAGATGAATGGTTTCGGACCAAAAACGAGTCGTTCTATCGTCGCGGTATTCATGCATTGCAAGAGAGATGGCGAAAATGTATAGCTAGCGAGGGACGATACTTTGAATAAACCGCTTTTTGTTTTTTTCTTGAAATTTTGCATTTTTCATTGATCAAAAAAACCCGGAAACTTATTTGTACACCTAGTAATTGGATTCAATTGGATGCAATTGGATCGAAAAACTGCATTTCCTATTCAAAACTTTGAATTGAATAGTATTCACAATGCACAGAAAAAGGTGATATTATTTTTAGATTGAAAGGTCTAGATATGCTCCATGCAATTCCTATAAATGAATAAAAATGCATTCAGGATTGAAAAGCATTCATTTTAACATTCGTGAATCCATATTTCTGAAATGTCCATAAATCTGAATCCATTTCGACCTATTTCAATCCATTCTCGTTTACTGGGACAATGGCCAGTATTCATAGTAGGTTCTTATTTTAAGACCGTCTTAAGTCGCTAATGCAGCCCTCTGGCCGGTATTCATAGTCAAATCTTATATTCAAGACCGTCTTAAGTACGGTCTTAAGGTGTCACAAACTAATCAGAGGGCCGCATTAGCGTCTTAAGACATTACTTAAGATTTTGAAATAAGAATCGACTATGAATACCGGCCTCTGATTGGTTCATGACATCTTAAGATTGTACTTAAGACGGTCTTAAATATAAGATCCGACTATGAATACCGGCCAATTTTAGACTTTGAACGGTATTCATAGTCAGTTCTTATATTCAAGATCGTCTTAAGTTTTGTCTTGAGGTGTCACGAACCAATCAGAGAGCCGCATTGGCATCTTAAGACATTATTTAAGACGGTCTTTAAATAAGAACCGACTATGAATACCGGCCTTTGTGTTGTTTGGGTTGAGAGTATATTGGACCAATATTAGCGTTTTTCATTGGCAGAACTAGTGCGCACTTTAAAGCCGTTGTACAAAAATCGGCGTTTAGATATAACGTTTAATAAAAATATAGAAACAAATTAAACCGCGAAATATTCAATACATTTTATTGTGCTATTTGATAAAATACACATT